GTTTTTTCTAATTCGTCTGTATGGTCACACACCCACATACTCCACACACCCGCCACACAGACACCACACACACACACACCAGACACACTCACAACATCACTACACATCCCACATCGCACATCCCACACAACACCACATCACACACCCACATCAAACCACACCGACACTCACACACCCACATCACACACCCACATCACAACACCCACATTCACAACACACCCACATCAACACCCACATCACAGCACTCCCACATCCTGACACCCACATCACACACCCCACACTCACACACCCCAACATCACACACCCACATCACACAAACCCACATCACACCCCACTCCACCCATCAACACCCCACAGTCACACACCACGCACAGCACACACCACCCACATCACACACCCCACAACACAACACCCCACAGTTCACACACCCACATCAATCACCCCACCATCCACCAATCAACACACCCGTCACAACATCACCACACCCACATCACAACACCCCACATCACACACCCACATCAACCACCCCACATCAACACACCCACATCACACACCCCAACATCACACACCCCATCATCACACACCCTACATTATCACACCACATCCACCCAGCACTCACACACCCACATCACACACCCCACATCACACACCCCACATCACACACCCACTCACACACCCCATGCACACCACCACATCATACACACACCCACATCACACACACCCACATCACAACACCCATCAGCACACCAACATCCACATTCACCCCGCCACATTCACACACCCGCCAATCACACACCCCCACTCACACACCCCAGCATCACACACCCACAATCACACACCCCACATCACACACCCCACATCACCACCCCACACTCACACAACCCAACACACACAACACACCCACAATCACACAACCCCACATCACACCACCCCACCCCAATCACACACGTCCACACACACCCATCACACACCCACATCAAGCAGCCACCACACCACACAACAGCCCAACACAAACTCACTACCACCACATCAACCCACTCCACCACATACGCACATCCAACCACATCACACCCCACTATCACAAACCAAGGTTGCCGTCGAATACCTTGTTGAAGTTTATAGTGCGCAAGTATTATCTCTATCAGCATTTTCATTAGAAGTTAGAAAAGCGTGGACATTTGAATTTGGATAAATAGTTCTTGGTTCCCACAGGTGTTTCGAGTACCGTGATTTAACAAGTGAAATAGAGAGAGAAGAATAATATTAATTTGGCATCAACACGCAACGGCTGTTGGAAAGTTATACGCTACGTGAGTAATGCACGTATAGTGGCAATATCAATAAACACTCTCAAACAATCGCGCATCATCTGTCTGTGCCTCCCGATGTGCGATATAGCTCTGCAGATGCATCGCAGAGAAGCTGTCCGTGGCTTTACCTGTTGGGAAATCCAGCACCTCCCAGTGGGGAGATGGAGGCGAGGTCGGAGGCGATGGCTGCGGTGACTCGCCCGCCGATGGCCCGTCCTCTTCCTCATTCTGTGGCGCCATCAGCTACAACATGAACGGTACGATCAGCCACTGCCTTTACACCAGCTGCCTTACTACTAGCCACGCATTTTATATTTCGTGACCTTTTCGTTGAAATCAAATCTGAGAGGTGCAGGAGTGTAGGACATATTGTGATGATTTATCACACGGTAAACAAAAGATAAACAAATTTCGTATAAACTATAAGGATGGCCGATAGCAACAACGGGCAACATAAAGGAATTATACGGCGAGTGATAAATAATGAAAATGTAAGGGAAGGTAGTGTGATTAATAAAGGGGGAAATAATGGAATAAGTAGCGAATGGAATATCATACGGACACATGAGAAATTTCCGTGGGTATTTAATTCAGTTACAAATTTATTCCAAGGATCGATTGTCAACGAAAATTAAATAAAATGCTTGGGCGGTATTAGCCACTTAGAAATGAGAATGCGTGCGAAGAAGGGGTGACCCTGCATAATATAACTAAAGAGAAACGCAATTAGGTACTGTTCTGCGCATCGGGTGAGGCAGAAGAACCGCGCGTGATATAAACAGACAAAGCAGAGCGGACTCGGTGATGATCGGTGGTGGAAAAAGGATTTCCGAGATAGTAAAACAAATCAATTTGTTATTATGTTAACTGTTGATGGTATAAATGTTGTAAGTGTAACAAAGTATAAATCTGTGTGTTGAAAGGAAGAAGATGCCACGATATAATTGGACTAGGCTGAAAATGGGAATTTAAAATGGACGTGGGAGCGACGGCCAAGAATGCGGAGGACTCGAATAGGAAAGTTATTAAATGGGACATAAATCTGAGTAATGTAAGAACACTAAGTTTGTAGAATAGATCTTAATAAATTTTCAATTGAAATAATAATAGGGAATGGCCATGCTTGCAAGAGAGAAGTAAGGGGAAATATTAAATAACGACAGGGTTATTATTGACATTGACCTTGGAAATTGTTATTTAAAATGGCATGTATGTTTTTTTTGTTTGTGTGTAGCAGAAAACCAGGAATTACAATGTTACTAGATTTTTGAAACGGGTATTATTACTAGTACTATATTACTAGTATTATTATTGGTAATGGTAAGGAAATTTCCCTAATCCCAAATATAAAGAATTTTATAAAATATAAAGAATATTATATGGTCAATAGCTTTTGGAAGATCTAAAAATATTTCAATGGTTGCTTCATTTTGTTCCATTGATGAAGCAACATCTTTAAGAAAAGAAAAAAATGACAGTTTCCGTAGATTTTGATTTTTTTATAAACCGTGTTGTGTGTCTGAAAACGCTTCCTTTTTCCTGACAAAAGTTTTCATTCGTGTATAGAAAAGACTCTAATATTTTTGAGATAACTGACAAAAGAGAAATTGGACGGTGATATTGAACTTTCTTTTTGTTCCCTTTTTTAAAAAGTGGCTTAATTTTTGCTGTTTTGAAAATATCTGGAAATACTCCTGTGCATAAAGAAGCATTGAAAATGTGAATTTACGGGTGCATAGGCGCAGGTAGCAAGTTTTCAATAAACAGTTCGGAAATTCATCTAATCCAGTCGAATATTTTTTTTTTAGTTTACTGACTATTCTCAGGATTTTGTTAGATGCGGAAATAAATGTAGTGACGAATTTTTTTTTGGAAAGCGAACGATGTTGAATCACTGGCGGATCCAGGAGGGGGCTTGGAGGCCATGCCCCCCCCCCCAAGACCAAAGTTTTCGTTTACCTTCATTTATTTGACAAAGTTGATTTAAATATTTATTTATGTAATTATTTAAACAATACTATTGCATAGTATATCTACAGTACTTACGAGTAAATAATATACAATATGATAAATATATTTATTTAACAAAAATCTATGATGACCACCCAAAATGATCGGCTGATCCGCCCCTGTGTTGAATTTTGTGATTTAGTTTAGGAAATTCATATAAAACAGATGAATATTTATTTTTTAGTTTACTGACTATTCTCAGGATTTTGTTAGAAGGTTCGGAAATAAACATCGGGTTGAAAATATTTTGGGAAAGGAGTTATGTTGAATTTTGTGCTTTTAGTCCCTTCGTGAGTTCAGTGTTGGTTGTTGAGATTTGCCACGTTTTCCAGATTACTTGCTTCTTTAAAACAACATTATCTACTAAGTACCGAGATGTGGTCGTATTTTTTACGATATTCTACATTGCTTTAGTTTTGTTACTAGCGTTCAAAATATCTTAATTATTTTTCATTATTTTTGTCTGAACTATTACTTTCCTTAAAGTTCTTTTGCATTCTCGAAAGTAGACATGGAAACCTGGTGATACGGTATGATGTTTACAAATAAAGTAAAGTGGACGTTTGTTTTTATACGATGTTTGAATTCCTTGTGTGATCCAAGTATTATTTTTCCGTGAAATGTTTAACTTTCTCTTTTTGAGAGTAAAGCATTTGTTAAAGTGAAATGAAAGCTGTGAGAAAAATAATATTATTTTTCATTTGTATCAATAGCGTTGTACGAATAAACTGTGTCCTTCAGCAAGTAGTCCGTAAATAATTTTATGTTAACTTTAGTAAAAGCTCTGCACATGCGAGTATTATTTATTGTGATAGTGTTCATGTTATTAGTAAATGTACGAATTTGTGCATCATGGTTACTGTAACTTTGATAAGTAGCTTTTATTTCATATCTAGTTGTGGTTTTATTAATTATAATTTGATATATTACTTTATGTAATTTAAATGTATTCCGTGTAAGTACGTTCACCGTAATATTTAAATTAAAACAATGCAGTAAACTGAAAAGATGCTCTTTTTCCTGGGTTTCGCTCAGAAAATTAATATTGATATCTTCACATATAGCAATGGATTTAAATGACAGATTACTAATTTAATGCATTTATCTCTAGAGTTTCTAACAAAATGAAATTATCTAACACTCGCTTTTGTGGAGATATGTAGATGCAAAGTAAAATAGTTTTGATCGTAGTAAGATGTACTACTGTCATATCAAAAACTTTTCAAACAAACTTTTTCGTTAAGCTGAAAGTTGGGATATCTTCCTTCAAAAAGGGCAGTCCTGAACATCCTTATGATATAATAACAATAATAATAATATTAAATGTATTTTTAAAGCTGAAAGTTATAAAAGAAAAATACAGAATTTAAAAAACTTACACGCATAGTATTGCAATGATCAAGGCTCATCCGCACCAAGCGCGACCCTCGACAGTCACGCTGAGTTAAATCTTCGCAGCACAGAGTGCCTCTTCGCGGCATTAACACACACACCACAGCTGCACGCGTGCCGTATGTCTCTGCATCGTAACCGCACCCGAAAAAGGCACCCTTCCCACCCCTTTATGCAACAGTGGTGATGGACGGCAGAACTGTTGCATTAAGAGGCGACAAGCAGCCTACTGGCTAAATCAAGACCGCCTATGGAAAAAACTTCGATATACCTCATTCCAGTAAAGTTTTGCGACGGGAAGTAGGTCGGATCTTGCGAGAGCGGTGGGGTTGGAAATCGCCAGAGCAACGGGCACTAGAAGGTCTGCCACATGATAGAAATAGGACTGTCGAAGTGAGCGCGTCGGCGTCGGAGATTTTGTTTGAAATTGACGGCGCACTACCGCCGCCACGAGAAAATGTAATAATCTCAGCGGAATTTCGACAACTCCAGCCATCGCGAATTATCGAATTTGTCGGACTAAACCATCACGAGCGAGTGTCTGTGCAACATTGTTTCTCGCTGCTAAACAGCTACGCGGTCTAGCGAACGTTTGTGCGGCCTGTGCCAGCGCATCAACGTTGCCGGCCTCAAACTCACTTGGACTCAGGCGTACTCCGACTCAACCCAGGCGCAGATTCCTCCGGCTTCCGGAAGATAAATCCATGGCCATTCGGCGGGCCATCTGTTGCCACCGCTGCCAGTGAGTGTGTAATCCTTTCGGAGTGAAGTATCAAAAATTTCCTGCCATCACATCACTGTAAGCTCCATGTATTCAATTAACCGTCGAATGTAAAAGAAGATCAACACGAACAATAAACGTGTCCCCGTCGTTTTGGTCGGGTGATTTTACAAGGAAAATGTGTATTTTTAATCATTAGTTAGTAAATGCAACCTCCGACCCAGGGCGCCCACCCCTGTTGATGTCAGTCATTACAGTATATTTTAGCTTAGTTCATTTAATTCTACTGCCCCACTCCCAAAGACATGAACATTCTTTTACAGTTTTTTTTTACGATAATTATAAAATAAAACGGAATATATTTGTTCGTACTGTTATCCGCATTAAAATAAAGAAACGTTGAACACTTCAAAACTTAATAAGAGCGGCAGGAATAATAAAAAAATCTTTAAAATAAACAATCCGATCCAATTCCCTTATTAGGAATAAAAAGGTGAGCCAAAACTTGCGAAGATTCCAGTTTTCACATCCTTGGATGACGTTTTGAGCCCTCGCAGAGAAAATGAGCTCGCCAGTGCCGCACGTTCCAATGACACCACGTGCGCTGATTCCTGACTCAACGACTTGCGTTGTCCTTCAAATGATTATAGTTGTTTCCTCGTTCCCTTTTAAATATTACTGAAGAGAGACACGCCCTTACTGTAGTGCATGACAAAAGTAAGTGCATTACTGTAGGTCCATGACAAAAGGTTTGACATTTGCGATATATAATCATCGCATTTTATCAGTAGCCGTCCGAAGTAATGGACTTGGAAAATGGATTCCACGTGTACAAAATACATCCGAACACACGTGACCTACTTGTAAGTATCGAGCGACAATGGAGATCGAAGGAAGCAATGTCGAAAACCTATGAATTAATTATTAACAAAACAATCCAACCATTCTGAAATCACAATATTTTTTTTATTACAAACTCAAACATCAAATAGGCGGAAATAGAAATTATTAAGGAGTATTAAAACATAATTAAATGAGATTCAGAAAACGTGCAGCTGTAATCACGATTGCTCGCGTTTAAAGTTCCCGTAATAATTTGTAGTTGACAGCCCCGTTGCTGTAAAGTTTGAAACTCCATGGATATACAATGAAATTTAATAGATTTGAATCATTTTAATAATTTTCTGAAAAAATAACGTAGTAAGACTTAACGCTCGAACTACAGTTTTTGATTTACTGCTTACAACATT